CACAAAGCCGGATGCAGGAGATCCCGAGGTACCTTCAATCGTTGGCCTGTCGCGCCAAACTTCGCATCTTCGCGGAGAAACTCGCGATTATAGTAGAACAGACTCATGAATATAAAGACTCAACTGAAAGAGCCTTTTGAAGAGAATATTCAAGTAACGCGCGTGCAATTGTTGTGCTAAAAGAAGATACTACTTCTTCACTTGACAATTGTTCTACGTTGTTTTTATTTTATTAGCGATCAGGCAAATACACAGAGTGTTTCTTAAATAGCTGGCATTAATCACGTAGCGCTATTCCTGAATAAAAATTAAGTCGAAAAATTCTCTACTATTTTGCAATTTTTGCAATGATTGATGAAACATTAATTTCTAAAGATTGCCGAGTAAGTGATTGCCGAAATCATATAATGCTATTTCTGATAAAAAATTGAATCAAAAGTTATTTATTATTTTGCAATTTTCGTAATAGTTAATGATTGAGCAGCTATTCGATAATATTTAAAAATTAATATTTCATTAATCATTACGAAAATTGCTAAATTGTAAAAGATTTTTCGACTCAATTTTTAATTAGGAATAACACATGATTATCTGCTATTTAAGAAACACTCTGTATAATAAGTTTCTCGATTCGAAATGCCCGAAATGCTATTCAAGCGTTAAACTATTCCCTTGGGCGTCGGATTTTACGCGGCCAAGTGCGACGCGTGATTTTATCACCGGTACACGTAGTTACGCTTAATTATTGTTTGCTCCCAGTTGAGAGTGCGGGTAATTAACAGCCGCTTGCATCGTTCATTGCACATATATACATATTTTTATATCGGCATGTACGATTTATTTATTAAACGGTAGAAACGAATGAGTTTATGAGCAGGATATATCTCGATCACCAGCATCGTGGCGCGCGACTTAATGGCCAAGACTTACTCACGCAACTGACGCACATGACGCGTGTTCTTCTCTATCCATAAACAACCGTTTCATCACACTCGAGCGGTTGCAAAAATTGTGCGCTACCAGATTTTTTTCCTCGTCAAGCGCGAATAAGCACATTGTTAATTACGTTGGTATTAGCAATTTTTTTGATCCCGTCGTATACACGCGAGATATGTGCACAATCGCAGTCGGCCCTCGAAAACAATCGACTTCGATCGTTTCATTCTGTCTCTTAAGGATGTATTACGTGTATTTTTTAATAAAATGGAAACATTATGAAAGAATTACAGATTTTTCTATATTAGATATTTGAAAGTAGAAAAGAAATACAAAAAATTTGGTCGTTTAGAACGTGAATCAAAAAATATTCCGATAAGAAGTAGATATGTTTGTAAAAAATAATTAAGATGAAATGAAAAAAAATTTATTTAAACTATATAAAATTGTATTATTGAATATTGATCTCATTGACTCTCATTTCATATATTTATAATATTTATTTTTATATTGAATGTATATTTTCAATTCCAATCACTTTTGCAGAGACAAGACTATATCTGATACATCCTTAAATATTCTTATAGATTAAGACTTAAAAATCGTGAAAAAAGTTAAAAAGCAAAAATTAAAATTCAAAATATAAACGTTAAGAAAATGTTTATGGAAAAATTATTGATAGAAAAATTTGTATGGTTTATTTGACACTTTTGTACACTTAATGATTAATTAATTATATGAATAAGCAACATGATGAATGTTATGGACGAGAACCAAGTCTGTGCACATTTATTTATAACGTTATATATAATCAGACATTTACTTCAAATGTCACGCAGCTGACGACTGCAATTATGCAATTAATAATTGCGAATTTTATTCAATCTCGACGAATACATCTTCTTAATATTAACATTTTTCGTAACATTACAAAATCTTACCAATCGATTAGTTGTAATTGCAATGATGAATTAGACCTCAAGATATCTTCGAATCCTTCTAATGAAAACAGTTCAACACTAACATTACTGACAATAACTGCTTTTTTTACTAAACGTTTACTATGTATTGAGTGATCGTATTGAATCACAAGGGACAATTTATCTTTTCCTGGATTTGAAATGAGTTTTCAATGAGTATTTAATCGACCGGATGATAAATCGCTAAGGTGCATAAAAAAAAGCCTTATTCCGACGACGAAATACTACGTCGACTGATTGCCATGCCGACGACGAAATGACTCACGGACGGTCGTATCTAGGCTCTTTTTGTTATAAAAAGATTCAACATACCATGCGCGAAAGATTGCTACATCTCGTTGCTCGGTGCCAACAATGTTCGCAATCGTGTTCTCACCGTCGTGGTGTTTCACCGAGTACGCATACGATTCCCATTCGTTGAATACTCGAGGAAAAATTACGCTAATGCAACCGATCGCTAAGTCACATCGATCGACAAAGCATGGCGCTTAATTCCATAATGTTGTTACGGTACAATGTCTAGACGCTTTTAATTCTTCCCTGCTTCTTAATCTTTCATTTATTTTAATCTATTATTATCGATTACAATATTATTATCGATACGATTTTATTATTCTTTAATCGATTATTCTTTAATGTTAAAAAATACATTTAAAATATTATGATATTATGATATTTCAATAAATTAATGCCTTTGTGAGCCATGCACTGGATCTTGGTATGAAATAGTTCCTTTATTTAATCTTTCAAAAAACAAAAATCATACGTTTTGATTCTTGGTTCGGATCCTTTTTAATATCACAATTTAAATTTGCGAAATCATTGTTTCCTGATACACTGTATAATAATGAGTAGAAATTACAGTTAATCGCATATAACAATCTACAATATTACTTGGATATGCAGAATAAATACATAAATAATTAAATCAAATATAAAGGATGAAACAAAGGATGAAAACGTATGATTTTTATCTGAGAAATTAAATAACGGAACTATTTCACACCAAGATCCAGTGCATGGCTCACAAAGGCATTAATTTATTGATCGATTCATCTTAAAGAGCTTTGATTCGACTCTATTTATATTATTTTGATATTTATTTTATGCGTATAAAATGATTCTCAAATTCAATACTTCGCGATTTCACGTGTTGCAATAATGAAATGCAGTCCACTTTACCTACTCCCTCTCCTTCTTATTTCCCCTCTTTCTCTTTCTCTTCGATTGTATTACTCTTTCCTTTTCTGTCTCGTATCACATCAGATCAGGTATGAACAATGAATCGTACAAGAGAATAGCGATAGACTAGCAAAGGAATAGAATACCAATAAGCATTGCCAGCTATCCGGCCCAGGAAGAAAATTTCCATACTCGGCGATGCAAGTTACTACTTTGCCGTCGCAGATACGCGAATCTTCATGAATAATTTTACGGCAAACAATCGGCAACGTGTATCAACGCGCTGAGAAATTCAATTTGACAACAAAAGACACCCAAATTGAACTCTATTCGTTAAAAAAGAGATGTATGAGAAAACACACACGATGAAAACGATATAAGGGGAAGATCGCTTCGTCGATCGCATGAACGCACATACATCTACGCACCTGGCCGTTCATGCACTTCCGTCTCTGACAGTCGAGAAAACTTGAGAACAGTCATTGCGCTCACATCCGGCAGTGTAGCGACAATGTCTCAAACAGGATTGGATATCGCGATCGAGGAAATTACTTGCTATATATGTATCTGAATAACATCGTTGCTACATAGCTCATACAGCTAAGTCAAAGATGGCACCGCGTCTATCAACAATTGATAATTTTTCAAAAATTTCATGTTAAATATATATAACTGTCTGACTTGATTCACACTAATTTTAGAAAAAGAAAGCAAAGAACTAACAGATAGACTTTCTTGTTGTTAGAAGAGTAATTTACAATTTGAAGCTGTAAGTCAGTTCCACTTTATGTTACCTGATCAATAATTTTAGTTTCAATATTAAAAGTTAAAAAGTATATTTTTTATATGTATAATTTATGTATAATTAAATTATTTTTAGATTTTACAAATGCAAATAAAAGAAGAATTGGTTGAAATTTATAATTAAAATATTTTATCAATAAAGAAATAAGTGAAGAAAAATTGATAGAAGAATTAAGAAGCTAAAAAGACTGAATAATGTATAATCAATTTTTTCCATCATATTTAAACTTCGTTGAAAAAGGGCAGAGTTTGATTGCGTAAAATGAGCACTTTGCATTAATGCGATATTTAAACGCGAATAGGCGTGCACATCCGGTTGCTCACTGCCATTCCTAAGAACGAGATATGCCTAAAGATGAGCCATACTGGTTACAAACAATCATATCGGCACTAATATATTTAATTCAAGACATTTTTTTCGTTTTGATTTTCATGTTTAAAAGTAGCTATAGAATGATTTATCTTATATTTAAAAAATATAAAACAAAAATGAACTTGTAGATTAACTATATGAAATCTTATTTTACATACGTTTTTGAAAATATAATTTAGAGCTTGTACAATTTGATAAATTTTCTCTCTCTAGAAATAAATAGATTTCAACCGCACTATATTAAATTCTATTTCATTTCTTATTAAAAAAAATATTATGGATAATATGTATTCTACGTAGCTATATTTAATATTGTTCTCATACGTTTCAGTACGTTAAATATAAATATAATTAGATGAAAGAAGTTGAAAAATATGAAAATTGTAATGATCATATGAAGGCGCTTACCCTTTACGAATCTTATTTATACATGAGACAATCGGATAAAAATAACAAAAATAAAATGATGGATATGTTATTTTTACTAAATCTTCTCACTTGTTTTAATTATATATTATTTAACATTCGAATTTCCATGAAACTATTCACTTGACGCATCCACTGGACGCGATCGCACTGCACATAATATTGTATGTTCAAGCTGGAAACCACTTTAGTT